ACATTAAATAGCTGATATCACTGCACTATAAAGAAATGTTAACTGACTGATGTCACTGCACAATAGGTTTATTTACATTAAATAGCTGATATCACTGCACTATAAAGAAATGTTAACTGACTGATGTCACTGCATAATAGGTTTATTTACATTAAATAGCTGATATCACTGCACTATAAAGAAATGTTAACTGACTGATATCACTGCACAATAGGTTTATTAACATTAAATAGCTGATGTCACTGCACTATATATAAATGAATTTTGCAGTGGTGATGATAAGAAGGATCACAAAAAGTATACGAATAAATATTTGACTTGATGTTTTCATGCAACAGTCTTTCCTGTCATGTGAGCTTATTAAACAAGGACGAGTTAATATGGATATATGGATATACACTCTCAACAAAACACCCACAACGACTGGTAAAACATTTGGGGTAATAGAAGGTGTTCCTCGGTGTATACCCCAAAGACCTACCTTCGACACCATTTTCAACAACATTGTGCATGTATAGATGCGATCGGAGAACCATGTGTGTAGAATTTTTTTTATCTCAATGAAATTAAACAGTTGGACGTGAAAATCGTGCTTAGCACCTCAGCTGAGTATAAGTCATCGGTTATTACAATAACAATATTTGACAGGCCATTCTTCAACAATAACACAAACAAATGGCATATGATATAAATCAAGCTTATACCTTTAAGCAACTGGCGCAATCATATCTACCTTCTTCGTTTGGTTTTCTCGCCAGCGCATAAAACATAAATGGAAATAATTCTCGGGAAGAGACACAATGCATCAGCAGAAACATTCTTCTACCAGACTTTAAACATGAAAAAACATTGTTTTAAATACAAAACTTAACGAATAAACGGCTAAAATGTCTCAAAGCTTTAATTCATATGCTGTCGTGCTTCTGTCGTTGACCGATATGATAAGGTGTGATATTCTGGATACTTTTGCCTGCTAGTATGCCTTGATGGCCCTGACTTATTTTAATTTGGCTCTATTAATATATAAGTGCTGGCGATATTTAAGAAAAACTCTTTATGAAAGCTAAAAGCAGCTTTTGTATCAATACGGTAA